TTTTTTTTTTTTGGTACAGGGACCTTCCGGTTTCTGGATCCACAGGGGAACCGACTAATCCGGAATCAAGCTGGATAGGACCACAAGGGCGACAAAGCTCTCCCTCAAGAGTTTTAACACTGCTGCATTCTCAGGGCTCGAACAAAAAGTTACCTATTTTGCCTTGCTTAAAGCGACACAAGATTATAATGAAAAAAATAAAAATAAAAATTAAAAATAGAAAAAAATCACTAATTAAATAATTAGGCCCTAATTAATTTTTTTTACCATATTCTACCCCGAATTAAGCATTCTTTTTATGCGTAGATTAATTAGAGTTGTCCTGTAAACACTGGACACAATCCCCTTAATTTAGATTAATTAAATCCTTTTTTGTTTAATTAAATTATCCGTGATAATATATGTTTGTCCTTGTCTGAGGGGCTTTAAACCTCTTTCTTCGTGATTGCATGTTATTAATATATTCACATACTAAATATTTATTAATAATTAATTGAAAGAAATTAATTAATTAATTAATGATCATGTGACATGCAGCAGTTAATAAATTAAAACCTTTATATTCATGCATAATAATTTTTTTATTTTTTTTTTTGACGGGTTTACCCAATCAAAGCTTATGAAACCTCGTACATTATTTTAGAGTGTTAGTTGGGATTGGATTTTTCGTCAATGTTTAACAGCAAATACTAATGAAAGAATATTAGTGGATTAATATAGAATTAATGGGTTGAATTTTATTTAAGAAGTTTGATCTATCATATATATCCGGTAACTATGTATTTGGTAAATAATTTATTTGGTTAATTTTTTTTTAGGTTAGAACATTAAGAGGTGGTTTTACTTATGGGTGAGCATGGGTAGGAAAGTTTGGAGATTGACAAATCTCCAGAATTGTACCGAAATTCGGATATTACTAAAATTCAATCTCCGAAATTATAAAAAAAATCAGTTCGGTGCGGTTCAGTTCGGTTTGGTTATTTTCATTTTTCGGTTCGGTTCGGTTCAGTTAGGTTTGGCTCGGTTCGGATATTCAGAGATTTCTAATTATTTTTAAATTTTTTTTAATGGCCACCTAGTTGTATTTTAATTTTATATTTTGTTTAAATACAACATTCATCAATACTTTATCATACTAAATATTTTATTTTTAAATCAACTAGAGAAATAATTCTAAAATTTAATTAAGATTAAATTTGTGCAACTTACATTCAAAATTCAACAAAATATAATATAGTTTTTTATTAAAGTAATATTTTTTTAACCTTCCATACCGTGTTAGTTAAAATATAGAAAAGACTAGTATCGACAAATTTAAGTAATGTTTAAATATTTTTTTTTAAAAAGAATATTTCTTTAACCTTCCATACCATTTTAAATATATTTTTCTCAAACTGTCAATGATTATTTTTCGGTACGGAGTAATTTCAGTTCGATTTTTGAAACGGTTCAGAATTCTCCAAGTCTCATGCTCAGCCCTAGTTTTACTTGTTATTTATATGAAATAGGCTTCACTATAAAGACAATTGTTGACTCCATAGAAAACAATGAATACATCAAGTCACCATCTTCAAACAGTATTTCAAAAAACGAATCAGGATAGTCCGTAAGAACGTCCAAATATCAAGGCGTTTTGAGTTGAGAGAAATTATAAAATGACAAGGTAATTACATACCAAATGCCCATTTAAAATTCACTATTTATCAATTATTCATTTACAATTGTGGATATAATTCACTAGTTAAATCAGCTATATATTCGTAACTAATACAATAAACTATATGGTTTATGCTATATCAACTATATTAGAATATTCACTGTGAGTTGTCCCACATCATTTATATAGGAAAATTTGACATAATTTATAAGTCCAGTGGGCTACTTCTCCTTCCACCAATTGGTTTTGCGATGGAACCTCACTTGGACTTCATCTGGGCTTTCTCTGTCTTAGTGCGCTTCATCTGCGTGGGACCGCACTCGTTTTCCCCTCGTTTCTTACATGGTATTAGAGTCGGTTCTATTGGGGACAATGTGATGGCGTATTAGAATATTCACTTGTGAGTAGTCTCACATCGTTTATATAAGGAAAATATGTCTAATTTATTAGTCTAGTAAGCTACTCATCCTTCTACGATTTTGGATAAAACTTCACTTGGGCTATCATCTGGGCTTTCTCTGTCTTGGTGTTCTTCATCTGCGCACTCGTTTTTCTCCCCCGTTTCTTACAAACTAATAACCAAATGGACATGGCCAAAACCCGGATGAATAGCTCATTTCGGGACAGGCTGGTTTATTAAAAATATAATAATTTTTTTTAGAAAACAAAAAAAAAGTCAAACTGCCAATTCCTGTTACTGTTCAAAACTGTAACCGTCGATTCAAAATTTATAAATGCTTAAATCAGAACTGACTTAGATAAAACCACACGCCGTTTTAAGGCCCATGGTCAATGGGTCAGATTGCGGGCCGGTTCGAGACGTGTTCATGTCTATAACCAATATTGCTCAAGTTAGCCTAATAAATATTTTTCCTTATTAAATGAGAGCTAGAACTCATATTTTGAAAGATCAGGCTTGGCTCTAGTTAGTGTGGACATTTGATTTTCTCCCTTCCTATTACGTAATGCGTAATTTAGCAATTACATTCTACACTTTTCATCACGCTCATAAAAATAGTTTTGTAATTAAATTTTTTTTTTAATAAAGTTCATTAATTGTTTGACGACTAATTAAGTAGAAAATTGTAGCACTTGAGTGGAAATGAATATTTGAATTTCAGACCAATTGTATACTTTACATCATAGCTCATATATATAATAATATTATCTTGAAAATACAAAGATCAATATAAATGATGACAATTAATTTTCGAAACTTCAACCTTTTGACAAGGGATTAGACTCAGTCTAAGTGTTAAAGCCAACGGAAAAAACGTACACATTGCCATTATTTTCTTGGTGAGCTATATATGTGATTTAAACAAAGAAATTTAAAAAAAAAAAAAAAACATGCTATATAATTATTCCTTTGTCCCCCACATAAACAAAAAAAAAAGTGACAAAGAAAATCTCTGTTGCTAAGATCATGAGCATTTTAAAAAGCTTTGTCTGTTGTGCTCTTTAATTTGCTCAGTAGATATAATTCATCATACTCATCCTTAATTAATTGCAATGTGGATTGGGAATAGGATGTTGTATAAATATAAATTATTATGTGAGACGATCTAACGATTAGGAAGTATTTGACAAGTTAAAAATATGTGTCGAAATTAGTGGGTTGTTGCAGGATTTATATTAAATATTTGATTTTTAAGTGGCAAATGTTTCACATTATCTTGCAATAATTGAGGAAACTACCGTTATTTGAGTTTTTTTGCAGTTTGATAATTCTTAATCGTGAAAAATCAAAGATGGAACTTTGGAGAGCTCAAGGCCACTGGCAGAAGAGATGGCTCTTGTGTATTTATTGTAGAACATATGTCAATACATTATTGGTGAATAAGTGTAGATGACTCCATAAGTCGAGCTATCCGATGGCTCCGTATCAAAATTGTTATAACCAATATAACAATGTCGAAATTACGTTAAAATTGCAACATGACCATGTTGGTGTTATTTTGGAATTGGGTTTATCTTATTTCAATTGATATATTTTCCCATTAATTGTTTTGTGTGCACTGTTTCATAATTGGTTTGCTTAGTTGGTGATTGACCACCTGTTATTTTGTGCGTGTGATTTATTGCTTTAAAATTGAAACTTGAGTCTGATTTGGATCATGTATCTTTCGCCACAAGCAATTAGAATTGATAATTGACCGAATTTAGGTGTTCTCGTTCGCAGGCGGAACAACTGAACAAACTAATATTTAATGGATTAGCTATTTATCGTTTGGACTATAGCTCGCTCGTGTTTAATGCTACTACTATAGGATAATTCTTCTTGATGCTATTAACTAGTTATAAGAGTCTCGTAGAAGGTTTTATTTTCCGTGACTAAATGAGGAGATCGATTTTATAATCAATGACATTTGAGTAGATTGTAAGTTGATGTTTTTACATGAAGGATCAATTAAATAGTCTAGGGTGAAAATCCATTCAACCTCGTACTATATTTTGTTACTTGAATTTTATATTTATTTATTTTTTTTCTTAGTTTGATAGATAATTTTTAGTTTAATTAGATCATTAAATACCCTTTTTAAACACATAGTTAATAGATTTATTTACTTCTCGGATTGATAGAGTCCTTGCTCACGCTACTCTGTATTTATAAGCAATGTTAATTTGGTTGCGTACGATAGCCTGACCATAGGTCAATCAAACATGCATAGTCTTTGGATAAAAATACATTATTATATTTCGAAATATCATTTTTATTTAAGTTATTTTTAAAAGATAATAATGCAATGTCATACTTTTATTTAATTTTATTTTTAAAATATGTCACTTAAAGATGAAAGTTTCGTATTTATTAAAAGAATGTATATAGTTGTTTTGTTTAAGGAGGCGAATGAATATAAATCAAAATCGATTTTGATTGTTTTTGAGTTAAATTGAAGTAATTTTAAATAAATTGATTAAACGATGAGAGTGAAATGTTGAGTTTGTATTTAAATAATATTTAAAATGTAATAGGTAAAGTTGACGTGATGTAAGAGTATGAGCGAACTTACTAGGGTAATTAAAAATATATGAGTATATAAATAGAGAATTAAAGTTGATGCGATGTGTGAGTATGATTAACTGATATTAAGTAATTATTTTGATAATATCGAAGAGAGTTGTGTTGGATTAAATTTGAGCTGAAATTGAAATTATAGTAAGTTACCCCTTTAAGAGTATCTTATATCAACAAATAAACTACATGAGACAAGACATAAAAGTACTTTGAAATCAATAAACTATAAGGGACACGACATAAAGGGACAAAGGAATATATTACACAAATAAAAAACATACAAAAGTCATAAATAGAAAAATTAGAGAATGGAATATAACACTCAATTAATTAAATTAAAAGTATACACACAAAGTGAAATAAAATATACAAAAAAAATAAAAGAAAGTAGAACAAGCAAATCTCCTATATTCTAACTTTTTTGCTATAATTACTCCTTCTCACTCTCTTATAAAAGGAGACCCATGAGTCCCTTTTTTAACTCCACAACCACACTTTCTCTTCACTCTTCATTTCCAACACACTTTACCAAACATTCAAGAATCACTCCATCACCTTTATTTATTTCCAATTTAATCACAACATCTTTAATCCAAAGCATCTTCTCTTTTTTTCTCTTCTTCTCCTTCACAACTACACTCCATAATAATAATGTCTCATTCTCCATCATCAAATTCAGTCAGTGGCTTCCTTAACTTCCTTGCTCGAGAGCTCGACGGCCTCGAAAACCTCTTCCTGTCTCAGAACTTCATGTCGTTCGATTTCCTTTCGAACATCCTCTCGTCCCTGAGATCCTTCCACACCAAACTCATCATTTTGGCCCAAAAGCTAAAGCTACGGGTCGGAGAGAAATGGCTCGACGAGTACATGGACGAGACCTCCCGCCTTTGGGAGGCCTGCCACGTCATCAAGTCGGGCGTGTCCAACATGGAGGCATACTGCTCGAGCGGCGCCAACTTGGCGACTTTTCTCGACGATCATCGTGTCTTAAACTCGCAGCTTTTTAGACAGGTTAGCATCCGATTCTCAACAAGAACACACGCCAAAATCGTAAATTTGATCGAAACGGAATATTTGTAACTGTTAATATTTTTCAAGATTCTTTCCCTTTTGTCACTTAAATACATCAACCTCTAACACTATACCTTTATATAATGGAATCTGATCACTATTTGTTACTTTTCTTGTCCAAATATGGTGTTCCCACAAATGTCTCTCCAAATATTCAAATCTTAACTTGGAAAAATCACTTATATTATATTATTGAATGCTCAAAATTGTTTTAAAAAAAAAGGCGCGCCGTTGATTTTTTTATTTTTATTTTTCCGACAGGTCACACGAGCCATCAACCGTTGCCAAAGGGAAACCATCCCTCTACAACACGAAAACAGGCGCATAGCCGAGACCAAAATCCAATCACTATCAATAAAATTCAAAGATAACTTCCTATCCGAGCTCCGGTACAACAGATACAACGGCTTCCAAGGCGCTCTTTACGCCCTAAAAAACGCAAACACGCTGCTTCTCGCCATACTTCTAAGTGGGCTCGTTTACTTTTGGCCCGAGACCAGCTTCTGCCGAGAGAACAACCAAGATGAGATCGTAAGCCCGTTTATCGGCTCCAACTTTGTGGCCTCCAGCGCCAGTCTGCACGACAGGATTGTGACTGTGGTAGCCTGTCTCGGGCTTGAGCCCGGAGTTGTTCTTTTCGAGCTTCGGGCCGCGAAGTTCGCATTGGACGAGCTGAAAATGGCGATCGAGGGTACGGATATCGGGTATGAGAATGAAATTGGTATCGATATAGACGAAAGAGTCGAGAACTTGAGGATTTGTTTTGGGAGTTTGCAGTGTGGGGCCGAGGGGATAACTGGGCAGTTGGATGATTTCTTTGACGAGATTGTGGAGGGAAGGAAGATGCTTTTCGACATGTGCTCGAATAGATAGAGAGAGTTTGAGGTGATCAAAGTGAGTTTAGCTTAGGTAGATGAGATGTAGGGTTGGGAAAGTTTTGTTTCTGGATGTTATTATGGTTGATTTTGGGGTTGTGCATTTTTATTTTTTTTTTCTTTTTTTTTTCTTGCAGTTTTTGGAATGATTGTAGAAACTATCGAACATGAAGTTTTGGTTTATTAGTATAGAAACTTCAGTTATGTTTCAAAATCTGGTGCATCTGCTTCGTACGTCTATGACAGTAGATATTTTTAACACAATATATATGAGGTTTTCAATCTAACCAAAATTGCATTTTATTTCATAATAAAAAAATATTTGTCTCTCTTGATGAGTCTTTTAATTTTATTATCTTGGGTGTCCTAAAAATAAAAAGTTTTTTGTTATTTATGTGAGTAGTATGTTTCCTGAAGCTCATAATAACACAAATAAAAAATGAAATGTTTAGAATTTCAATTTTAATCACTCTTACGTTCTTGCGCCGTAGCCATTCTGTCAGGCACTTTACCAGCTCCTATGCCATTAAGTTGATAAGAGACAACATTTTCTCTCATTTCTCTTTCACAATATATATATATATAGAAAATTTAGTTTGGTTGAAGACTTTTTCTTTTTTTGGGTAATTGTTATTTTAGTACCTGTACTATGGGCTAATTGTGATTTTGGTACCTATCTTTTATTTATTGCGAAAATACAACCCAACCTTTACGTTTTTTGCGAATTTGGTACCTATTCTTTATTAATGGCTAAAATACAACCCAACCTTTACATTTTTTTGCGAATTTAGTACCTAATAATTTTTTTGTACCTAATAATACAAATAAAATATCTTTATTTTGGTTTTTTTGATGTAAATCATAAAATTGTTATTTGTATTATAATGAATGATACAAATAAAATGAACTGCATTTTCAATATTATTAAAATTACATTTAGAGATTCTGTAAAAAACCATATATAATTATTAATAACCATATTTAAATTGAATGGGCATATTTAAATATCAATGAAATGCAACCATGATTTAAAAAATCATAGTATCTCCTATGAAAATTCAAAAGAAGAAATATTTCTCTTTTTTGTATTTACCTTAACAACAAAATTCCTGAAGAAATGAAGATACATACAATTTTTTTAATATTAGGTAAATGAACTGCATTTTCAATATTATTAAAATTACATTTAGAGATTCTGTAGAAAACCATATATAATTATTAAAAAAAATATTTTAAAAAAGTATTACTTTTCAAATATATTATAAAAGAAAAAATTTATTTTATATCATTTTAACAAAATTTAATTTGATTTAATGTAATTTTATTTTATTTATATATATTTTTACTTGTTAATTTTTATTTCTTACACGTTATTTTTATTAAAAGTACATATATTTTAATTTTTTAATTTATTAAAAATTACTTTAAATCATTTTATTGCCTTTCACTATATTTTTATTTTATAATATTTTATTATAATTTATCTTATTTTTATTTTTAATTTTATGATTTATATAATATTTTATTTGTATCATTCATTATAATACAAATAATAATTTTATGATTTACATCAAAAAATCAAAATAAAGATATTTTATTTGTATTATTAGGTACAAAAAAATTATTAGGTACTAAATTCGCAAAAAACGTAAAGGTTGGGTTGTATTTTAGCCATTAATAAAGAATAGGTACCAAATTCGCAAAAAACGTAAAGGTTGAGTTGTATTTTCGCAATAAATAAATGATAGGTACCAAAATCACAATTAGCCCATGTACAGGTACTAAAATAACAATTACCCTTTTTTAAAAAAAATTTAAGACTTTTTAAGATCTTAGAGTGTGTTTGTTTATAAACTTTATCAATTTATATTTAAAATTTAACTTAATTTTAACTCAACTCCACTATATTCAATATTATCAATATAATTAAATAATATAAATCAATCATTCTTACACATCATATAAATTTTAATTTGTTATTCACTCACTCACATAATTTTACTAACTATCACTTCATAATATATTTCTACTTTTACCTCAAATTAACTTTAATAATTATATTTTAAATATTATTCTAATATAAACTCAAAATCTCACTAACAACTAACCATACTACTTTTTAAACAAAAAATTCAAGATTTATGAGGAATCATGTTAAATCTTAAATCTGGACCTTGGAGTGAGATTTCATAAATTATTTTTTTCTTTTGAAATCAATCCTCCACATTTTAAAAAGTCTTAACAAATCTCCCTCTCGAATAAGTTAAATACATAGAATTTTTTAAAATTTCAAAATGAATACTTCAAAACTTTTTAAAATTTTAAAAAATCTAAATTATATACACCAAAATTTCTGAAGTTAAAAAAA